GCTAGAACAAGTCTTAATAAACCCTGTAAGGGCTGCCCTAGCCCCAAACCTATGTGTTCATCAGAACTAATTTGAAAGTGACACTCCAATTCGAACTGGCCCAAGCAGAAATGGGAATTTGTTAGCTTTTACAACTGGCAGGTCCAGGTTTAGAGCTGACCTCAAATGTGACCGGAATCAGGGGCCAAACATTTTCCATCGCTCAGCTCTGCTCTCCTTCATATGGACTTCAATTCTTTTTTTTTTTTTTTTTTTTTTTTTTTTTCAACTTTTTTTATTTATTTGTGGGACAGAGAGAGACAGAGCATGAACGGGGGAGGGGCAGAGAGAGAGGGAGACACAGAATCGGAAACAGGCTCCAGGCTCTGAGCCATCAGCCCAGAGCCTGACGCGGGGCTCGAACCCACGGACCGCGAGATCGTGACCTGGATGAAGTCGGACGCTTAACCGACTGCGCCACCCAGGCGCCCCTGGACTTCAATTCTCAGGCCACATAGTGGCAAGATGGCTGCCAGTAACTCTATTGTGCATCTTCTGAGACTCAGGTCCAGTGGGAAGGAGAGAGATTCTTTCCTAGAAGCTTCCTCAAAAAGGTGCTGGAATTCACTCCAATCAGTCCACCTTTGAATTATTTAAAAAAAAATTTTTTTTTCAACGTTTATTTATTTTATTTTTGGGACAGAGAGAGACAGAGCATGAACGGGGGAGGGGCAGAGAGAGAGGGAGACACAGAAACGGAAACAGGCTCCAGGCTCTGAGCCATCAGCCCAGAGCCCGACGCGGGGCTCGAACTCCCGGACCGCGAGATCGTGACCTGGCTGAAGTCGGCCGCTTAACCGACTGCGCCACCCAGGCGCCCCACCACCTTTGAATTATTTAATCATCGTTTCTAACAGGATACCACGTGCTGATTGCCTTAGACCTGGGTCACATGCTCCATCTCTGGATGGGGGGGTTGTGAAGGTCTAATTGGACCACATGGGTATAGTATGCAGGAGAGACAAACCCTTCCAAACTAAGGTGGGTCTATTACAGAGAGTGGATGCTAGAAAGACAATCAACAAATATCCACTCCACCCGAGGTGGAAAATGCCCAGAAGGAACCAAGTGGTAGTAAATGTCTGGCTAAGGGCCAAGCTAGCCCCAAGAAGGGAACAATAGAACCCATGACTTCTTGAGAAAATTGGTGATTTCCTAAAAAGGTGTCACATATGGTAAGAAATCCCTCCTTCTTCAAGAAGCCCAGGGCAAACTCTTTCCTTTTCTTTGCTAGAGGAGTTCTCAGAAAGTTGAGTGTCAGAATGCCCCTCCATCCATGGTTCCTCTGAATGACTGGTCTTGCAACAATATTATTTCCCCATCACCTTCAGTCAGGGCTCAGCTTTGTTCTTTTTTTCAGTCATGCTTTGCTTGACCACAGGTTTCCCTCTTGTGCTAAAGGAAGTATCTGGTCTTTCTTTCTTTCTTTCTTTCTTTCTTTCTTTCTTTCTTTCTTTCTTTCTTTCTTTCTTCATTCCTTCCCTTCTTTCCCTTCTTTATTTTCTGGGTTTCTGATAGTATAATTTAGGAATGCATTCTGCAATATAATAGAAAACCCTACTGCTTTGGTTTAAACAGATGGGGGGGTGGGGAGCAGGGAGTTTTCACAATAGAAAGCCCCAGAAGGGAGGCAGTCAAGGACTGATACCATGACTCAACAATGCTATCCGGAACATAGGCTTTTTATCTATTTCCAGTCCCAAATTCTTGATATAGTACCTTCGTTCTCAAGCTAGACCCTCATGGATGGCTCATGTTTCATGTTCTCATGGTCTGAATGAAGAGAGGAAGGTCAAGGCTTTGTTTTCTTTCTTTAAACATGAGGTCTTGCTTTTTTACTTGAGAAGCATTAAATGATGAATTTCTAAAAGAATAAAAGCATGACTCTCATGTAATCATAAAATAAACATGTGCCAAATATTTTATTTCACTTGTTAACTAATAAGGAAATCAGTATAAGATGTTAAAACCAATTCAAAGGAGAATTCTTGAAAATATTCCCACGTCGGCAATCAGGAATGAAGCAGTGACTTTACAAATAGATGGAAAACTAGCCAACAGAGAAATAATCCACTGCAGCTCCGCCAGACACGACTCATTTGCATTTCTATGGACAAGAGCCAACTGTATTTCTATCAGTTTTCTACAACTTACAAAATTGTAAAATAGCTCAAAGATTGTGAAAGATGGTGATGACACCAAAGAGAATGCGATATTTCGGTCCATTTAGAAATCTTTCACAGAGTTTCCTGACAGAAGGGATGCCCCCCCCTTACCAGCTGCTGTATCTCATTGACCGGAGCTGTGTCAGTGATAGATGGCCTCTTGGTTTCGGCTGAGGTCATGATAACAGGGTTTGAGGGATTGAGCCCAGTGTTGGGCTCTGTGCTGGCAGTGCAGAGTCTCCTTGGGATTTTTCTCTCTCTCTCTGCCCCTACCCCCCGCTATAAACAAACAAACAAACAAACAAACATTAACAAAAAAAGATTGCTGGGGCGCCTGGGTGGCTCAGTGGGTTAAACGTCCAAGTTCACTTCAGGTCGCGAACTCACAGTTTGCGAGTTCGAGCCCCTCGTTGGGCTCTGTGCTGACAGCTCAGAGCCTGGAGCCTGCTTCGGATTGTCTCTTTCTCTCTCTGCCCCTCCCCCACTTGTGCGAGCTCTCAATCTCTCTCTCTCTCTCTCTCTCTCTCTCTCTCTCTCTCAAAAATAAATGTAAAACATTTTTTAAAAAGATTGCCTTTTCCTGTAATTTTACTAAGACATTTGTAAACTGATGGCGACTCATGTCCTGAATGACTGTGATCTCTATCAGTTATTTGTTTTTCCCTTTCCTTTGTTCTTGGGCAGCCAGGAGTGCCTGAGGAATGTCACACATGTCCCACCTGGGGTTGGGGGTAGGTGTTAGCTTGTGCTTTGTCCTCAGTTTGCCTTTGGCTCCCTCATCAATACGAGATATTAAAATGTGAAAAAATGTGCATCTTAAGATCAATGAAAGATTGCATTAGCTGTGTGATCTTATCTTTTTTTTTTAACTTTTTTAACGTTTATTTATTTTTGAGACAGGGAGAGACAGAGCATGAACAGGGGAGGGTCAGAGAGAGGGAGACACAGAATCTGAAGCAGGCTCCAGGCTCTGAGCTGTCAGCACAGAGCCCGACGCGGGGCTCAAACTCCCGGACCGCGAGATCGTGACCTGAGCCGAAGTCGGACGCTTAACCGACTGAGCCACCCAGGCGCCCCAGCTGTGTGATCTTAAACACATGTGAACTGAATTTATTTCCACGCTTGAGCTTTGATTTTACCATCTGGAAATTAAAGGTAATACCTACCTCACAGGGTTTTTGTAAGGATTAAGTCAGCTAACACTGTTAAGACTGCTAAATTTAGCAAGAGTAGGGACTTTGTCCCTTGTTCACTGTACCCCCACTTCCTAGCACAGTACTTGGTGCATAACAGAGAGGTGGTTTGAAATGGTGGGGTTCAGAGCCCACAGCTAAGAATTCTTGTGACATCTTTGGTGCAAAAGAGTGGTTTTATTAAAGCACAGGGACAGCACCGTGGGCAGAAAGAGCCGCACTGGGGCTGTGAGGCGTGACTGATGACATACTTTGAAGTTGGGGGGTGGGGGTGGGATAAAGACAAAGGGAAGTTTCCAAAGGGACTTTCATATGCTAAAGAGGACTCCCAGGATCCTGGAGGCCATCTATTGTCAAGCTAAGGTGGTTTTAGCCTCTAGCAAAGTATTAACATTAAGACAGTAGGGAGTTCAATGGCTCGTCCTTATTATACTTGTCGATACTTATACAATTATTCTTGTCAAATATTATATTTGCCAATGGGCTGCAGGTTACAAGGAAATTTAATTTTAACTCTATTTCCTTTCACATTTGTTCTCCCCATCAAGAAAATTTTGTGAAATGAATCCACCTGGACTCTGTATCCCCAAATGAGCAGGTTGTTGGCACATAGTAGAAGGTGGGTGTCAGTAAATGGAAGTTATTATGGGAATCGAATGCTATTGGGGCCTCTTATTTAGAAAATGATGTCAGAGTGGAGACCACAGCCTGGTGGAAAAGATTACGCCAGATGGCTTTGTGCACAAAGTAAATTGTAAGCAGAAAATTTAAGGGTGGTGGTGGCAAATGAAGTTGGCCGGGAAGGAGGGGAATGAGGCACAGGGCAGAACAAAATACAAAAGGGCAACCTCCACCAGCTACAAAGCACTTTTTGGTCCTCGTTTTCCTAACCCTCATGACTCTACAAGCACCGTAGTATCATTACTCCCATTTCACAAACGGGATTCAGGTGGAGTACGGTTAGGGATTTTCCCAAATGAGACAACTGTATGGAAGCAAAGCAAACACGCCCCATGTGTGGTTATGTCTACCAGGTTTCCGGCTGCTTGGGAGAGAGCCTGAGAGGGGAGAGATTAATTCCAACTTGCAGCACATATAAGGATAGGTAAACACGAGGAAGGTGATGAAAATCGTTGTTAGGATGGTGAGATTATGGGCGATGAGAACGATCTAAATAATGTTGATAACTAATCCTTTCAAGAATAATTCAGCCAATGTAGGGAAAGGTGTTGAAACGAAATGCCTTTCCAGCTGCCATTTCCCCGCGGAGGAGTGACTTATCCAACAGGCTGGGGGGGGGGTTAGTCAGGACTCCAGGATGCACCCCAGACGGGGGATAACATTCCCCAGCTCATTAACAAGGAGTCACTGATGACTTAGGCGCACGTCCCCGCGTTCCCATCAGCGTTCGCTTCCGCTCGCGGACCGCCCACCTCCAGTTCTCTCCCGCGGGTAGCGAGCACCGCCTACTGGCTGTCAGCCGCTTGGAGGCCTGGCCCCGCCCCCGAGCAAAAAGCGCATGCTCTCCAATTCCTCTCCGCCTCCGCCTCCAGGCGTCTCGCGACAGCCGCCCAGCGGCGGCCTGAATCTCGCGATAAAGGCTTATTGTCTCGCGGGACCGCGGCTGGCAGACGGGCTTTCAGGCGGCCCTGGCCGGGGAAGAGGAGTTGCATGTGTCGCTTCAGCTGGCGGTAGTGGCGGGAGCGGAGGCGGCGGGGGTTGTGCGACCGCCTGGGTAACGATCCCTCGTGCCTCTCCCTCTTCCGAGAAGCTCGTAGAGAGCGTGGGGGAAGCCGAGGTGCTGCCCGGCGAAGGGGGCCGGGCCGAGCGTCTCCACACCCCCGCCCACATGGGCCCCTCTGGTGTCCCCGGGATTGCCCCTTCGCCTCACGTCTTCTCCTAACACCTGGCCGTCCTTGTCGCCTCAGTGCTCTTACATTCTGCCTCTTCCTGATTCTTCTGCCCCCATTTTCTCTCTTCAGATTCTGGTCTCCCCGCCCCCTCCCACTTCCAACCCCTTTCCCGATTCCTGTGTCCCTCCCTTGGCGTTTAGCTGCCCCCACACCCTGTATGGGGGGCACCTCCAGTCACCCGCCCCTTCTTCGTAGGCTCTTCCAGCCTCTTTTCGTCCAGCTGCTTTGTGGCCTTTATTGCTGCAGTTTGCATCCCTTCCAGAGCACCCCCAGACCTTTTGCCCCGTCACTACGGATCCTTCTCCCCATCCTGTTATCCCACTGTTTCCTCTTTCACTCGTGTCCCTTTCCCCCATCCTTCACGGTTCTCTAGCTCCGGTCACTTGCTTCCCTGTAGACCTGTGGAGCTGGTAATGGTGCACCCAGAATTGCTCATATTTTATGAATCCTAATGGAGCTTGTATCCTTCATTTGGGAACGGAACTGAAACAGATGTAGGGTTGAGGTATTTCTCGTGGGAGGAGGAGGTGAGACTACGTTTGAACACTACTTCTCTGGGGTCTTGGTCCAAAAGAGTGAAAATGTGTTATTTTCCTTGCTTACAGGTTTGTGAGATGGCTGCTGATATTTCTGAATCCGGTGGGCACGATTGCAAAGGAGAGCCGAGGGGCAATACCAAGTTAGATGCAGACTACCCACTTCGAGTCCTCTACTGTGGAGGCAAGTGTTACAAAGCAGAAAGTGGCTTTTACTCTTGATTTTTATGCATTGTCATAGTAGTTTCTCATTGGATTCTAGTAATCCTTTTCTCATCTTTGCTATTTGGTAAATCCTTACCTGGGGGTGGGGAGGGTGGGTAGTGGTGAAGAGGGGGCATGGTTTAATAGATTTTCCCAACCTGTGCGACTTGTGTCTTGCTACTTGGCCTGGAGAAGCTTACAGTCCATTAGGACTAGAGACGTGCAAATAAATTATTTCAGCCTAATGTTACTTGCTCATCTGGCTATGAAAGGAGGACGTCTTGGAAGACATGGAGTCTTAAGAGATGACAAGGACTGGATGAGGAACCCGGGGAAGGGCGTCCCAGATGAAGTGAACAGCTGTGCAAGAAAAGGCTTGATGCATGTCTCTGGAGAAATGAGCAGCTTTGTATTAGCACAGGGTATAGTATAGGGCGGGTGTCAGTAGGGAATGGAAGATGATGAGGTTGGGGTGATGGGTAGTAGGACAGTCTAAGGAAAGTGTTCTTGGTTTGACTAATAATCTACCTGTTAGCTCAAACCAGGATTCTCCGAGTGCTTTTCCTCATTTTCAATATAGAACATCCATGAGTTCGAAATGCCCTAATTTTATTAGCATTTTGGAAGGTTTCAGAAAAATTTGAAGGTACAAGATAGCAAAAGGGCAGGTAAATATTAATTTTTTCAGGAAATATATTTTTTTTTAAATTTTTTTTTTCAACGTTTATTTATTTTTGGGACAGAGAGAGACAGAGCATGAACGGGGGAGGGTCAGAGAGAGGGAGACACAGAATCAGAAACAGGCTCCAGGCTCTGAGCCATCAGCCCAGAGCCCGACGCGGGGCTCGAACTCACGGACCACGAGATCGTGACCTGGCTGAAGTCGGACGCTTAACCGACTGCGCCACCCAGGCGCCCCAGGAAATATATTTTTTTAATGTCTGTTTTTGAGAGGGAGAGAGCGTATGTGTGCATGAGTGGGGGAGGGACAGAGAGAGAGAGAGCGCGCACGAGACAGAGGATCCCAAGCAGGCTCTGTGCTGACAGTGCAGAACCAGATGTGGGGCTCGAACTCACGAACCCGTGAGATCATGACCTGAGATGAAATCGGACACTTACTGAGCCACCCAGGCGCCCAGGAAATGTTTTTGGCCATTTACTGTGTGCCTAGCAATGTTTTAGGTGCTGGGGACTGACTAGTGAATAAGTAGTGAAAAGGTCCATGGTTTTGGAGTATAATAGAGTGATGTCACTCTAAAAGAGGTGATGTCACTGAGTTAAAATTTCATCAATTTGTCATTTAGTGTCAATGACATTTGACAATGACATTTAGTGTCAATAAATTGATAGAATTATTATTATTACTTTGATAGTAAAAATTATTGTAGAATGCCTTAGTAAGAATATAGGAATTCAGTAAGTGTAAGGAAGTCAGTAAGTGTAAGTTCTCCTGAACTTTTTGTAGGGTTGATTGAGTTTTGTTATGATACTGATCCTATTTGGTGATAACTGTTTGCCTTTGGAGTCACAGACCAAAGTTTGCATCCTGACTCCAGCATTACCAGCTATGTGACCTTGGGCAAGTTACCTAATTCAGTAAAGGATTGGAGGTCTGTTTCTTAAGGTCTGTACAATGAAAATGATGATTATATCCTAAGTCAAGTGATTTGTATAAAGGTCCTGGTATAGCAACTAACATGAGAATGTAGTACAATAAATGTTATTATTAGAGTGTACTAGTTTAATGTGTTTTATTCATCTCGGTCAGATGTAGTTAAGAGCTGTTGTTCTTTGTACTATTTCATCTAAGGCTCCATATTTTATAAGCTTCACCATTATTTTATGTTCCACCAGAAAGAAAAAAAAGCTGTCAGACTGACCTGTCATAATTATAAGTTGCATCCCTATAAAAATGAAAAAAAATTTAGAACTGATGAAATACAGTATACGAACACCATCCTGTTAAATTGTTTATGTCACTGCTAAGGTGACTTTTGAACAATTCCATTAAATATGCAAGCACCCAAGTAATAATTTGTGTTGACCAGAAGTTCCTAATGTTTTTAAGAGAGGTTTATTTTCATTTTCCTCCTTAGTTTGTATTGATATTCCTGGCACTAGGCTGGGGACAGGGTTACTTCTTCAATGAGTTTATGGTCCGCTTGTAGGAGAAGCACTTAAGAAATACTAAATTCTAAATTAGAGGATACTGATAATAACTGTGAGTTAGGAGTTCAGGAAAAGGCGGGATCTTTGTTCAGAGGGAAATAGGGAACTTTCCAAGGAAATGGGAGGCCTTAGAGAATGGGTAGAATTCTAAGGAAAAGCGAAGGAATTCATAAGAACAATATGGTGGTAAGATTTAATATGATTTCCTCGGGGAGAGGAAAAGAGAGGGCTAATTGGAGAGGTGCTTGGGTGGCTTTGTCTGTTAAGCGCCTGACTCTTGATTTCAGCTCAGGTCATGACCTCATGGTCCTGTGGGATTGTTCTTGAGATCAGGCCCTGTGTTGGGCTCTGTGATGACCATGCAGAGCCTGCTTGGGATTCTTTTTCTCCCTCTCTCTCTGTGCCTCTCCCCCACACATGCAGGCATGTTCTCTCTCTCTCTCAAAATAAATAAACATGATAAAAAGTTAAAAAAAAAAAAAGAAAAGAAAGGGCTGATTGGAGTAGAGTGCTGGTTGGTGTAGAGTGAGGAACAAGGCTAGGTAGGATGAGGTCATTTCTCGGGAGACCTTGTGTCTTCAGGGTTGTGACTTCAGTATCTGAAGTCCATCAGAGTTTGAATCCCAGCTCAGCCATTTACTCACTTGGTCAGTTCCCTTATCCATTAAAAAGCCTACTTCAGAGGGCTGTTGAGAAGAATGAATAATACTCCACAAGGCTCCACTTCCTAATACCATCACGTTGGATTTCAACATACTGATTCTGAGGGGACACAAACATTCAGACCATACAGAAGGTCTCATGGATGATGATGCTTTGTTCTTCGTGTTTTTCCAGTATTAGTGATGTGAAGTTTGATGGTAACTGCTAGCGCTTTGTGTTGAAAAGCTAGTTTGCAAAAAGAGATATTGACTTTATTATTATTTTTTTGATGTTGACTTATTTTTAAGAGAGAGAGAGAGCCAGAGCATGAGTCGGGGAGGGGCTGAGAGAGAGATGGAGACACAGAATCCAAAACAGGCTCTAGGCTCTGAGCTGTCAGCACAGAGCCCGACACGGGGCCTGAACCCACAAGCTGTAAGATCGTGACCTGAGCCGAAGTCAGACGTTTAACCGACTGAGCCACCCAGGTGCCCCAAAATTGACTTTGAAAGCAAGTAACAGTGAACCCGGAAGACTTGTCCAAATTTTTACATTGTATTAGAATTTTGTTGAACTGAATAGTCTTTGAAATGGCGTACAAAGTTATATAGCTTTCATATTTGCTGTAATGGCATTTAACCTATAATTATATCCTGAACTGTGGCTGGATGTCTGTACCTACTGGTATTTGAACTTTCAGATCTCTAGCTAACCAGGGAGTGCTTTGGTGGAAGGAACTCTACACTTGAAATAAAGAGGTGCTAGATTGCTAGTTTTCTTCTGCCACATACCACCTTTGTCATTGGCTGAGCTATTTAACCTGTTTTGAGAGCTTCATCTATAAAATAGTGAGGTGAGGAGAAGGCATACCTCTGTCACGAGTCTGGCACACAGCTGCACTACCTGTGTGTGTCATGTAATCCGATTCAGTGCTTAAGAGTGTGAGCTTCAGAAACAGACCAGGGTTCAAATCCTGTTTTACTAACCAGATGCAGTGGGTTACTTACTTGAAGTCTCCTCTTTCTCTTCGGTAATACAGGTGTGATTGATTACTCCAGGGTTGTGATGATGACACATAATAATGGACATAAAGATAATTGCTGTTGTGAGTAATGGCGCACCACCCCTCTTCTCCCTCACGGATCTCAAGATCTTGGACACACTGAAGTACTCCATTCATCACCTTAGAAATAAAAACAAAATAAGCAATTGACCCAGTAACAGAATTATATTTAAAATTAGGAAACCTTTTGAGTTCTTCTAGTGCGTTAGCCTGTACAACAATGATGAGCTTGAACCAGCATTCCCTGTAGCTTTACAGTTGCATAATCTTGTGTAGCATAATATGAAAAAGAAAAAGAAATACTAACTGCAAAGAGGTGGTAGCAAAAGTGCTATTGAAGTCTATAAATGTGTTAGTATGAATGAAAACTAGTGGCTATTGTGGTAAAGCTATCAAAAGAAATAACAATTGTCAGGGGTGCCTGGGTGGTTCCGTTGGTTGACTCTTGATTTTGACTCAGGTTGTGATCCCAGGATCATGGGATCAAGCCCAATGTGGCTTTGTGCTGTGAGTAAAGCCTGTTTAAGATTCTCTGTCAAAAAATTAAAAAAAAAAAACAAAAAAAAAACCAGTTTCATTCAAGCTTTACTTGTTCTCAGCTTAGCTTCAGACCCATTGAAGTGTTTCTGGAAAACCTTAAAATATACAGGATAGTATAGTTTGATGCTCCATCAGCTGAGGGATAGAATCTTGTTTAGATAAAAAATAAAATTTGGTGCACCTGGGTAGCTCAGTTGGTTAAGCGTTCAACTCTTGATTTCAGCTCAGGTCATGATCTCACAGTTAGTGACTTTGAGCCCCGCCTTGGGCTCTGTGCTGATAGTGCTGAGCCTGCTTGGAATTCTGTCTCCCTCTCTCTCTGCCCCTCCCCTGCTCATGCCTGCGGGAGTGCTCTCTTTCTTTCAAATAAAAAAAAAAAAAAAAAAAATTAAAAAAATATTTTTATTAATTGGCTTTTTCCCCCAAAAAAAAAAAAAAAAAGCATGGGTGGTATTCGAA